TATATATATATATATATATGGAAGTATAGAACTATATGTATATGTATACATATCAACCTGTATTATATATAAGTATATAAATGCACATAATATACTTATAAAGATGAATATGAATTTGTATGCTCAGCAGCAGCAAAAAGCTGCAGAAGTTTAACCCCATTTCTCTTTTCTTTATTTTCTTCCTCCCCTGCCTCAGGGCCTAGGGTTTAGGGTTTAGGGTTTAGGGTTTAGGGTTTAGTACCTATGACTCTATTGGTGGGGTCTTCATGCACAAACACGGGGGCGCAGTATTCGTCCGTCAGCGCGGGGTATTCCAGCCGCAGTTTGTTTGCTGCTGTCACCTGAGCACCAAAACCCTAAACCCTAAACCCTAAACCCTAAACCCTAAGCCGGAAACCCTATACCAGAAATAAACACTAAACACTAAACCCTAAACTCTAAACTTTACATCTTAAACCATCAATGCTAAACCATGAAACATAAACCCTAAACCCTAATAGAAGATTCCAGTTAAAGCGTTTCCTTGCTTCTACATTCCAGTATGAGTCCTAAAGGCTAGGGTTTAGGGTTTAGGGTTTAGGGTTTAGGGTTTACAAGTTTCATCATCTGTTGTGCATGTATATCTGATACAAGATTCCAGTTAAAGCGTTTCCTTACTTCTACATTCCAGTATGAGTCCTAAAGGCTAGGGTTTAGGGTTTAGGGTTTAGGGTTTAGGGTTTAGGGNCTTCTACATTCCAGTATGAATCCTGCAGCGTCTCCGTCCCCATAAACAGCATCGGCAGCCCGCGGCTCACCGCCTGCAGGCTATACCTGAAGCAGCAGCAGCAGCAGCAGCAGCAACAGCAGCAGCAGGAACAGCAGCAGGAAGACCAGGAGTAGCAGCAACAGCAGCACAAATAGGTTCAGCAGCAGCGGGGAGCAGCAGCAGCAGCAGCAGCAGCAGCAGCAGCAGCAGGGAGTGCAAAATGAAGAAATTTGTAGTAAAGAGGCCAAGGAGACGAAGAAATATAAACAGGGTATAAACAAAGAGACAAAAGAGGGATAGAGAGGCAGATATACAGCAGCAGAAGCAGCTGCAGCAAAGCTATATGTATGGGTAGCTAGCTAGCTAGCTAGCTAGCTAGCTAGCTGTATGGGTTACTAGCTAGCTATATGCATGAGTAGCTAGCTAGCTATATATATGGCTCGGTGGCTATCTAGTTATATCTATGGATGCGTAATCAGCTAGCCATCTCCATGAACTGGCAGCTAGTTAGCTAGCTCGTTAGGTGGGTAGCTAGCTAGCAGTATAAGGGGAAAGCTAGCTAGTTCGCTCGCTCGCTAGCTAGCTAGCTAGCTAGCTAGCTAACGCACCACATGCGGCACTGCGCCCGAGTATGCCAGTTGTGTCTGCCTCCAAACAGAGAGACGAAATATTGCCCATGCTTTCCGTCCGTTTGCCCCTGGCCCACACAATCAAACCCTAAACCCTAAACCCTAAACCCTAAACCTTAAACCCTGAATTCTAAATTCTACATATTATACTTTAGCTCTGCAAGGGGCCTTGTTCTTCCTCTTGTTTCTTTTGTTTTTCGCTTTATTCTGATGCTCCTAAGTCAGGGTAGGAGGCGCAGTGTTGAACAAGAAGGGTTTAGGGTTTAGGGTTTAGGGTTTAGGGTTTAGCTTACGCCTGAACGGTTGCCTGCCTGGTCGTGGCTGCCTAAGATTGAATTAATGCACTGGGAGGACTTGGTGAAGCCGCTGAACAAAACCAACAAAACCCTAAACCCTAAACCCTAAACCCTCGCTCCAGCCCTGCATACCGTATGGATGCCCTGAAGAGAGGGGCTACACTCTAGGGTTTAGGGTTTAGGGTTTAGGGTTTACTGGTGGATGTTGATGATGTTTTTCAGCATAGGGAGATGGTAAGCTGCCTCTTCGCCCCGCATAATCTGCACAAACATTTAGGGTTTAGGGTTTAGAGGCAACACGCAAAGGTTTAGGGTTTAGGGTTTACCTTGACAGCATCATAGTAAGCTGAGTGTACCCAGCTCTTCGTGTCTAGGGTTTACTGTTTACTCTTTAGGGTTTAGGGTTTAGGGTTTAGGGTTTACCTTGACAGCATCATAGTAAGCTGAGTGTACCCAGCTCTTCCTGTCTACTGTTTACTCTTTACTCTTTAGGGTTTAGGGTTTAGGGTTTAGGCGGTTTAGGGCTTAGGGTTTAGGGTTTACCTTGACAGCATCATAGTAAGCTGAGTGTACCCAGCAAGCATCACACTTTGCTTCTGTGCAAACTTTGGGGTTTTCGGGTGTAACCTCAGCAATTATAAATTTAGAGGGAAATTTCTTCTTCAGGTAATGCAATAACTCCTGTTATATATAAAATAAATAAATAAATAAATAAATAAATAAATAAATAAATAAATAAATAAATAAACAAATAAATAAATA